ATATTTCACTCGAATGTATTCTATTATAGAACACACTGTGTGTTACAATATAACTAAGAAAGAAAATGAACAAGAGAGAGAGAGAGAGAGAGAGAGAGAGAGAAAGAGAGATAGAAAAAAAGGGGACACAATACACGTGATTGTTTTTATTTAACAAAAAAAAAGATTTCGTATATGAAATACAACAAAAATATATATATGTATACTTAGGTAGACGTACATATTGAATACGAAAATAGAGTACCCTTTCTGAAGGATTTCTCTAATAATAATAATAATTATAGTAATAGAAATAGAAATAGAAAGAAAAGCTCTTAAGATGGTTCCCGATCATGTCTTTTCTATCCAACAAATCGGCACATTGCTTTCTCAGTGCTTTGGGTCATGGAATCAATAGAAAAAGAGAGAGAGAGAGAATACATGTACGTGTGTGTGTGTATGTGTGTTTGTATATGTGTGAAGAAAATAGATAGAGTCTGGTGGTTGCGAACATCCCCGTACGATGAAAACTAAACTAACGTTAGGTTCGATTTACAAAGGCTTAAGTATTTATATATATATATTATATATAGGAAATATTAGAAGTACATAAACTTTCATTTCCCCTTATTTTTTTTTTTTTTATATTTTATTCAATACTATAAAAACGGGATTAGTATAGACAAAAATATTACTCGTGTGTACCCAAAAGGCACAACCTGGTAGTACCTTTTTGACTCGGTTGTAACCGGTTCGTCCCGTTCTACGATTATATTTTTCTCTCTCTCTCTCTCTCTCTCTTTCTCGCTTTTCCTTTCTCTCTTTCTCTTTCTTTTTCATTCTCTACTACTATCTAAGCTTTCTCTCTTTCTCTTTCTTTCTTTCTTTCTTTCTTTCTTTCTTTCTTTTTTGTTCTCTACTATCTCATCTAACTTTCTCTCTCTTTCTTTTTCTATTTTTGTATTCTTTAAAACTATCTTGCATTTATCTATCTCTTTCTTTTTATTTATTCTTTAAAATTATTGAATTTTTTTTCCTTCTTTCTTTCTTTCTTTCTTTCTTTCTTTCTTTCTTTATCTTGCGTCTAATCGTTTTAAAACCAATACACTCACGTTATCTCTTTTTTTTTTTTACTCCCCTTTCTTTCTTACTCAGGTGTTTCTATCCATAGTTAGAAACTAATCGGCCAAAGGATTATTGCGGGTCACCGGGTGTTCAACCTTCCGTATATACCTAACACGGTTCGATACCATGAGAACACCGGCTTGATTATTATAAATAGAGACACGCCGAAATGTTTGCGTCATTCGGCTTATAACGATGATGGTAACAACTATGATGACAATGAAAAGGATAACAATTATGATGGAATTAATTGCACCAAAGATAATCTCATCTAAAGAATATCGATATTTTTGTCATCATATTATCATTACATATTTGTAATATAACTTATTTTTTAATGTTTCCATTTGTTTATGAATTTTATCATATTTTTCTTTTATATTTATTTTATCGAATTATTTCAACATTTTTGTTCCATTTATTTTTTTATCAAAGTTTCTTTCATATATTTTGTTCATGAAATTTTTATTCGATTCTCCAATTAATTATACATATAAATATACACACGTATACATGTAAAATATATTAAAATGTGCAATTTTTTTGTGTGTAAATATTTTTTTATAATATTTATTACGTCTTCTTAGCAAATAATACTTTTAAATAATTGTTTCGATAAAAAGACGAAACGTGATTGTTTTTTGACCAAATGGAATTTATAATTTTGGTAATTAATTGAGTCTAATGAATTGTGTATATTTATGTACATGTGTGTGTGTGTGTAAGTTTATATATATGTATATTATTCAACGATAGGTGTGTTTCTGTTTGGACAGTCGTTTGTTAGGAAATGGAAATTTTACTTTTCAATTAGATCGATTGATTTAAATATAATTAATTACAAGTATATCGGAATTTAAAATTAACATGCAAAAAGGGTCAATAGTTCCTATGCGATTTTATTTTACAATTTGTAAAATAAATTTTATTTTATTTTCAAATCGTTAATTATAAATCTTATGAATATAATAATTGTGATTTTTTTCTAAAATCAGTTATCACAATTAATTCACCCAGTACATTTAATAATAATAATAATAATAATAAAGCGTGCATTTTTCAATATGTGTAAGTATGTTAAATGTATGTATAAATGCAACGTAATACGGTAAATGGAATTGTGTTACGTCTCTCAGAAATTTCTATATAAAAACTTCCTTGAGAATCCAACGATTCAATTTCATGAAGAATAAATTACGCTTTGTGAGCATAATTAGAAATATTTTCTAACGGAATAGAAATTATTGCAATTTATAAATAAAAAATGACCGATTGAAAGTTTTTATTGATTTTAATTTGTTGTATTCTTTTTTTTTTTTTTTTTTTAAGATTTTTCTTTTTCCCATACATTTGATAACATTTTTAACGAGTTCTATTTTATTATCGATGATATAACATATAAAATCTTAATTACATTACGATAAATCCTAATCTTGTAACTTTAGTTTGTGTCAACACTGAGAATGGCAAATACGTGTTACAGATATGTAATGTATGTATGTAAGTATATATATATATATATATATGTATTTGGTTGGTAATTTATAGTGAAATAATATTCACGTTCAAAAACGGTTCGACCTACGTGCACACGTGTCTTTTTTTATCGGATGATTCAGAAAATATTTTTTTTCGTCAGTTTTATATATGTATACGTATATTCCATAAATCGTAAACTTGTACAATGAAATGGAATATTTTTTTTAATGTCAAATTGAATTGTCGAAAATAAACTCTAATTTTGCAAGATTGTTTACTACCTCTTAAAACTATATTATCTACAAAATGAAATATTATTTAAAATTATATTATTTACAGAAAAACAAAATATTATTTAACATGTTAAATATAAGTATATAATTATATTTCATATATATTAATATAAATTAATAGGTTTTTGTGTGGTATATGTAATAATATTAAAACAAAAATTTCTTATATTTTGAAGAAAAGTGAAAAGATTCAATATTTTCTTTCACATCGCACGAACTATATTTAGTGTCATGGCGTGTTGGCATCGTAAACAGGACAAATGTATATATATATCTATTTATATCTATATAAATACAAGTGAAATTTTCTTCAAGGAACATTTTCGCAATTCTAAGAAGAGAGGGAAAAAAAGAGAGAGAGAGAAACAAAATGTACATTAGAAGTATTGGAAAGAGCAAAGGAGACCATTTCGTTCGACAACCTTTATCGATATTTTCTCGTAATCGTTTTTCATTCATTGGCCGCCATTCTATTTTGGTCAAATGAAATAGCCAATAAGAAGTCTTTATAAAAGTGAACTTATTGCGAGTGTAACCTTAAGCTCGTATTTCATCGTGTCTCGTTCATCGAATGATTCAAATAGCGATTAAGGATGGCGCCACTAACTTTGGGTAGGTTTGTAGCGTTCGTCGCTACATCTATCGGTAATCGCGTAAACCATGGTACGAGCTGTCCGACGTACAGTATTCCATCGACTACACCGGACAGCACGTCGTGCGAGATAGCGTTCGCAAATGTGTGAACATTTTAAACGAAGGAAACGAGAGGAAGGAGGAAAGTAAAGAGTAGGAAGGAAAATAATAGAATGGAAAAGAAAAAAAATATAAATAAACACAAATAACAGACAGCAAGTAAACGAAGTTGAAAAAGAAAAAAGAAAATAAAAATAAAAAGAAATCAAAGCAACAGAAGAAGTAGAAGAAGAAGAAGGAGAAGAAGAAGAAGAAAAAAGAAAAAGACAAAAGAGAGTTAGGTCGCCATCTTTACGGAAGCATTATTTCCGAGCCAACAATTCATTTATCGTGGATTAAATTACGAAAGAATATTGTCTTATTCCTTCTGTCCACTACATGTTCTGGCAATCGTGCATCCGGATAATTTCGAGAGATCGATAATCGGTCGCGTTCGACACAGTAGTGAAACACAATACTCCAATTAGTTTTTCATTGGATAAAACATAAAGACTTTTGACTGATTCAAGTTGTGAAAAATACGAAGGAGAAGAAGGGAATTAGTAAATTTGCGTAACGACTACGTCGTCAACCATCTCGTTATCTACTATTCGGTGAGTGAGTACTAAGTAAATAAAATAAGTAAGTAAAATAAGTGAATGTGTGAGGAAGAGTGTGAGTGAACGCGCGAGCGCAAGCAAGTGTGGCAAGTAATTGGTATATCGTTATTATTACTGCCTTGCTGTTGTTTGTTGAAAACGAGAGCGAGAGAAAGCGAAAGAAAGAACGAAAGAGGGAGCGAGTGAGATTGAGTGAGTGTGATGGGGTGAGAGAGAGGGAGAGAAAGAAAGAAAGTGTCAGTGAACGAAAGAAAGAGAATGAGAGAGTGAGTGAGTGAGTGAGAAAGGAAAGAATAAAACTACACCATTTGTTACTTGTGCGAAAGTTTTTTTTTTTAAAACAACGGTTAGATAATTAAAATCATTATTGGAAGAGGTATAAACAAAAAACAAACGGAAAAAAAATTAAAATAATAATAATAATAAATTATTATAGCAAGATAACAGTAGGAGAGAAGGATATTAAAGGAGGGTGGTGTTGGGCATTGGTGATCGAAAGAAGACACGAAGAAGAAGAAGAAGAGGAGGAGGAGGTGGAGAAGGAGGACCCGGGTGCTGGTGCTGCTGCTGCGGTGGTGGTGGTGGCACGAACGACAATGAAGATGGCGCGAGGCACGGAGGAGGATTGGTGCTGACCCATTTTTTCGCGCGAACAACTTGCCATTTGTCTACCGTCGAAAGCGGAGTCCTTTAAAATCTTTTATCGAAAGAGCAAAGGGATTTTGGCGTGTGTGTCAAATCGGTGACGGCCTTTGATGGTGGTGGTGGTGGTGGAGGAGGAGGAAAAAATTGTGATTGTTGTGTAGTAATAATAATAGTAGTAGTAGTAGAGTAGTAATATAGTAGTTGCAATAGTAGAAATAGTTCAAAGAGAAGAAAGAAGAAAAGGAGGACGAGGAGGAGGTGGAGGAGGAGGAGGAGGAGAAAGACAAATTGAATAAAAAAAGGAAAAAGTCTTTCTCGGTGATCTGATGGTGCTCTCGTGACGTGTTACTAGTAATAAAAGAATAATCGAAATATTAAATAGAAATAAACGGTTTACATTTAAGTAATACCAAAAGGATTAAAGGAGGAGGAGGAGGAGGAGTGTGCCGAGTGTCATTGCATCGGTGTGTGTCCGAGTTCGGAGTGCGGTAGATAAGTGTAACGCGTCGGGTGCGTGCGTGCGTGCGTGCGTTAGTCGCTCGCGTGTACGTACGTGCGTGCGTGCGCATGTGTAGGCGTAAAGTTCGTTCGCGAGTAACGAGCGACAACGGTGGTGTGGTTGTGGTTGTGGGTGGTGGTAGCGGTAGCGGTAGCGGTAGCGGCCAAGAGTTACTGGCTTCGTGAAGGCTACTAGAAGAGAAGCAAGTTTTTCGTTTTTTCGTCTAACATTTGTAAAGTAGAGTGAAAGAGAACGAGGAGGAGAAGGAGGAGGAGGTGGAGGAGGAGGAGGAAGAAGGAGGAATTAATCAAAATTCTGAGAAGGTCTGAATTCATTAGATTTCTGGGAAAAAGGAGAAGGTACAACTGTCTTTTGCGTTGAACCTGGTGAAAAGAAAAAGGTGTTTACCTGTGTTAAGGATAAACACGGTAATTTCGAAATTTTGGGACTCCGTGGAGCCCCGGCAGGCTCGGGAACGAGCGCGGCCGCTAAAATGGGCAACAATGCCGCGACAGCGAACAAGAAGGTTGACGCCGCCGAGAGCGTCAAGGAGTTCCTCGACAAAGCGAAGAAAGAGTTCGAGGACAAGTGGAAGAAAAATCCAACTAATACAGCTGCACTCGACGATTTCGAGCGAATCAAGACACTTGGTACTGGCTCATTTGGACGGGTCATGATCGTACAACATAAACCAACTAAGGAATATTACGCTATGAAAATATTGGACAAACAAAAAGTCGTCAAGCTTAAACAGGTCGAGCACACGCTTAACGAGAAGAGAATACTGCAGGCTATAAACTTTCCCTTCCTCGTATCTTTGCGTTTTCATTTCAAGGACAATTCGTATCTTTACATGGTGCTCGAGTACGTACCCGGCGGCGAGATGTTCAGTCACTTACGTAAGGTCGGACGCTTTTCTGAGCCCCATTCGCGTTTTTACGCGGCACAAATAGTCCTAGCCTTCGAATACCTTCATTATCTCGACTTGATCTACAGGGATCTCAAGCCAGAGAATCTTTTAATCGATTCTCAGGGTTACCTCAAGGTCACGGACTTTGGATTTGCCAAGAGGGTACAGGGTAGGACGTGGACCCTCTGCGGAACACCAGAATACTTGGCGCCTGAAATCATTTTAAGCAAGGGATATAACAAAGCGGTTGATTGGTGGGCCTTAGGTGTTTTGGTATACGAAATGGCAGCTGGTTATCCACCCTTCTTCGCGGATCAACCATTAGTAATCTACGAGAGGATAGTCCACGGTAAACCACGTTATCCATCACACTTTGGTTCAGATCTGAAAGATCTATTGCGAAATCTATTACAAGTAGATCTGACTAAAAGGTACGGGAATTTAAAAGCAGGGGTAAATGATATCAAGGGACACAAGTGGTTCGCGAGTACCGATTGGATAGCTGTCTTCCAAAAAAGAATAGAAGCACCATTCATACCAAAATGTAAGGGTCCCGGAGATACAAGTAATTTCGATGATTACGAGGAAGAAACATTGAGGATCTCGGTTACGGAGAAGTGTGCCAAGGAGTTTGCCGAATTTTGAATGATTATCATCGTTATCCTCGTATCAAAATCGTCTTTACTTCCTGTTGTCGTCGTCAGTACCACCACCAAAACTAAACAACCACCACTACAACCGTTGCTGCTAATATTGCTGCTGCTGCTGCTGTTGTTGGTGATGAAGAAGAAGAAGAAAAAGAAGAAGAAGAAGATGCAGAGATAATGATGATGATGATGATGTTGTTGCTGCTGCTGCTACTACTACTAATGTTGTTGCTGCTGCTGCTGGTAGATGATCGTTGCTGCTGTCGTCGTTGTTTTATCGTCGACGATGATACCGATCGTTCGTCATTGTCGTCGTCGTCGTTATTGTCGCCGTCGTCATTGTCGTCGTTAGGGGTCCTGTTGAGAGAGATCGTTACACGACGAGGGTCAAAGTGCGTGTGTGTGTCTGTGCGTGTATGTGTGCGTGCGTGTCTGGGTGCGACTAATCAAAGTCATGGAGTATAATAATAATAATAATAATGGATATATATCGAGATATGTGACAGGTATCGCATATTCGATAAATGAAAGATTTGGGTATCATGAAATAGAAAGATGGAGAATGAAACAAAAAGTTGATGAATGGGATGAAATGTGTGATGACAAAATCTACAAAAAAAAAAAGAAAAAAAAAAGAACAAATCATCTTGTTTGCACACGCACCACTTTTTACACGAGAGATGATAATAGGAAGCCTCTTCGTACTTTTATTAGTCAACTCGATATAATAATATAAATAATAATAATAACAAATAAAATCGGCTTCTTCTTATGATCGCGTAAGAGAAACGACGACGTGTATATGTGTGTGTGTGTGTTCTCCCCCCCCCCCATAATAATATTATCCTACAAACAAAACATAATTAAGAGTAGTAGAGATGAAGAATATAAGAAAAGTAAAAGGAAGGAAAAATCCTTTTTTTCTTTTTTTTTTTCTTCTTATTTTATCAAAAAAACCTGTCGACCCAATCAATGACCACTACTATCCATTGAAGATGTGAAAATTATTCAAGTTATCACACAATCTCTTGTATATACAAAATACAAACATAAGTGTACATGCGTGTAATCACGTTATATGCTGTACGATGATGCTCTGTTTCGTCAATGACGTCATCAAAACGATGTCAAAAAAAGCGAGAAAGAGAGAGAGAGAGAGAGGGTCTATGAAACAAGAGGAGTTATTGCAATCCCATAGTTGTTGTATCAGCTAAATTGAGAAAGGTACACCACGCCTTCGAATCTCACGAAAATAATCGTCGTCGTCGTCGTCGTCGTCGTCAAATTAGGGAGAGATATATACATATATATTTACATATATATATATCTCATTGATAGAGAGGAGAGACACACGCGAATAATCCTTTATTTATATTAGATTTAGTCTAGGCATCGATTTAGATTTAATGGACACAATTAATAAAAAAAAAAAAAAAAAAAACAAACAAAAACAAAAGGAAGAAGAAGGATTTTTCCAAATACTCGTTTTTAAACCATAAACAAACAACTATATGTGTGTGCGTCTATCTGCTGTATGGTGTGCATGCATGTATGCGTGTGTATATGCGTGCGAGACAGTTTACTTGAAATATTGCTATGAATTTTTAAGTATAAATAATACAAAATAAAACAAAGATAGAGAGAGAGAGAGAGAGAGAGAGAAAGAAAGAGAAAATGAAGAAAGTAAGAAATGAAAGAAAGAGACAAAAGTATATGTATATAAATATATACATATATTAATTAATTAAATAAAACAAGAAAATAAATAAATTAAATAGAGAGAGACAGAATAGTATTCGAAGAGATACGTCATATGAAAAAGTAAAAATAAATAAATAAATAAATAAAAAAAAAAGAATAATAATAATAATAATAATAATAATATATACTCGTTGTTTCGAAAAAAAAAAAAATAATAATAATAAATAATATGACTAAAAATCCCTATTTATTTATTTGTTTCTTTATCAAATTATTTCATTGTCTCAAATATAGAAAAAATAAAGAAGGACCATCGACGTTTATGTACGTTTAGGATAATTCAATTAGTATTAATAAACAAAATAAAATAAAATAAATTAACTAAATAAATAAATAAATAAATAAAATAAATAAATAAAATAAATCTTATGTTATATTGTATAGCTATTCTCTATCTCGTCTCTCTTAAAAAAAAAAAAAAACAACATTAATTAAGTTATGTGTGTTGTTTGTATGTATATATAATATATGCATGCGTGTATGTTTGTGTGTGCAAGTATACACGAAAATAAACGCGCAGAATTACGTTTCTCTTTTATAATAATAATAATAATAATAATAGTAATAGTAATAATAATAATAATAATAGTAATAATAGCCATTGTATAATGCACATTATTTAGTAGGGAACGTTATACGCACGCAGACAATCTTGGAAAAATGATATGTGTGACAATAGAAAAAGAAGATAAAGAAGAAGAAAAATAAGAAGAGAATGATATAAAGAATTAAATAAATAAAGAGAGAGAGAGAGAGAGAGAGAGAAAAACTAGAGGGATGAGGAAAGCAAAACGAGAATTTTCATGAAACGACGGACACGACTCGTCTTACAAGGATAAAGGATTGTTTTCAAACTTCATGCTCTCGAATTTTATTGCAGCACTTTTCCTCTAAACAACTCTCTTGTCATATATGAGAGAAAGAGAGAGAGAGAGAGAGAGAGAGACCCGATAGAATTGTGTATCTTGACTAAATATATATATATATATATATTATATATATATATATATATGCATGTGTATGTAAAAATGTGTACATGTGTACATGTGTACGTGGATTGGGACAATCATTGAAATTTGAAAGGAAAGATGATGATGGCCTTGATAAATGAGAAATATTTCGAATATGTGTCATTTTTGTTTGTTTATGTTTGATTGGTATTACATATTTATATTAATATATATATGATGATGATGATGATGATGATGATGATGATGATGATAATGATGAATGACAGTTTATTAATTCGATGAATTATTTGACAGAACAATAGAAAGTTCGACAAAAAGACGAAGAAACATTTTTGGGGATTGTTCAAAAATGTTTTTGTTAATTAATAAAAATTATGTATGGTTGTGTGTGTTTGTCTGCTGCTGTGTATATCCTCTGTGTGTTTGTGTGCGTATGTACGTATGTGTGTGTGTGTGTGTAAGGTTGTTGTGTGAGGACATTTGAAAAACAAAAATTGAATATGTTGAAGAAGAATTTCGATCGATGGTTTTAATTGAATTGGTAAAAGAAATGAATATGATTTCAAAGAAATAGTATTTGGCTAGGAACAATAATTATTATGCAAACGAGAAGAAGAAGAAAAAGAATAGAAAAGGAAAAGAATAGAATAGAAAAGAAAAGAAAAGAAAGAAAAGGGTTAATGTGTTTGTGCGCGTGTGTGTGTTCAATATAGGAGCCCTTTTTTTTTTTTTTCATTATTTTCTAAGGATGTATAATTGTATACGTTTTCTTCTCTTCCCTACCTCAAGAATTTTGCAAGTATATAGAAAAAACATATATATATATATATATATGTATATATGTGAATGTTAACAAAAAGAGAAAAAAAATGTCGTCAGAGGTCAAAAGGGGTGGACAAATCTCTTTTTTTTTTCTTGTTTTTTTTTGTTTCAACCGAGAGACGAAGTTTCTTCCCCTAGTTTTATTTTATTTTATTTTATTTTATTTTTTTTTTGTTTAACACTATGCCGTCCGTAAATCTTAGATATGTTTCTTTTGTTCGACGTTGGTAATAATAGGTTAGAAATTTTGAATTTTTATCAAAATTTAAAAGATGGTGACTAATATTTATTGCTTTAATTAAGATAGGTTATTCGCAAATTTTTTCTTACTTAATTCCATGGTTAAATAAATACAATTTTATAATTATTATGTTCTCCTAAACATTCACGAAAAATATAATTCAAATATTTTGAGTTTTTTTTTTTTTTTATTAAATGACACCAAAGTGGTACCCACCGACATACAACGGATAGTTTTTGCATGGCACCAACGTGATTATTATATTCCCCTAAACACTCACGAGATATAATTCAAATGTTACTTTTTTTTTTTATTAAATGACACCAAAGTGGTACGACCGACATATAACAGATAGTTTTTGCATGGCACCAATGTGGTGCCACCGGGACGTCATAGTGTTAATTACTATTTCTCGTTGTTGTTGATTTTTTGTTTTTGTTAATATTGTTTTTTCTATTATATTATTAATCCTTTTTTTTTTTTACAAAAAATAATAATAATAATAATTATTATTATTATTAATAATTTTATTGCGATATTTAGTATCCCCCTCATCGTGATTTTTGGCTGTTGGCAAAGTTTTTTTTGAAACAAATGTTATTTGTTTGTAGTTTAAATGAATATTACGTCTCTCTCTCTCTCTCTCTCTCTCTCTCTCTCCCTCTCTCTCTCACATATACATTTTTTCACTCTTTCTATATATCATTTTTTGTAAGTTACGTTTGCGAAGAAAGAGTTAATTTTAGTCTTAATCTATTGTTAGTTAAAGTCGTCATTAGGAAAAACCTACGCTTTTCTTTACTTTTCAAATTGTATAACACCTGTGACCATTTGACTCGTGTACATATATGGTGGAAAATACGTATGCGAATTAAATTAAACCAACGACGAATATTATATTTTAAATTTATCCAAATCGTACATTTGGATAAAATACAAATTTTCTTTTTTTTTTTTTTATTTATATCAAAGTATATATATATATA